TGTAAGCCTTCACCTGAAGTACAATAAAATAAATAAATAAATAAATAAAATTATAGCCTAAAAACCCTATTGGGCAGTTCTATTCTGTCACGTGGGGTTGCTTTGAGTCTGAATTGACTGGAGGGCACCTAACAACAACAATGGACCTAGAACCAACATCCCCAAGGCCAAGTCCAAAGTGATTTTTCCTAATTAAACTAGACACACTTTGGAGAACTTGCCCATAGCTAATCCTGTCATTTATAGGTCAAATAGAAAGGCAAATGTATCTGTTTTGAGCAAATGGACAGCTGCCTGGTTAACCAGAACCAGAACTTAATGGAAGGTGATTTACTGTAACTCTAGTCTAGCAGCTCATATTTCTTTGAATCCTCTGAGGAGGGAGCCTGCTCAAGTTTTATCATTTAAAAATCCCCTGCTGTATTTAGGAAAGAGAAGTGATCACAGAGACAATAACTTATCTTTTAAAAACAAGGCTGTGGGTTTATTGTGGGCATAGTACCAGCAAAGGGTTTGGCTCCTTCTCAGCCTTTGATTCTCCTGTACCTGTAAAGCAGAATAATTATGTTGACCTTTCTAAGGGGTAATATTAGTCAAGGCACTGTTCCAGGCATGGTTCAAGCGTTAACTCATTTATTCCTCACAACAAGGGTGGGTACTATTAGCCTAACTGTACAGATAATGGTAGAATTTTCAGTGGCAGAATTCTCCCTTTCCATGTAGAAAACCCAGGTTTGATTCCTGGCCAATGCACCTCATGCACAGACACCACCTATCTGTCAGTGGAGGCTTGGGTGTTGCTACAATGCTAAACATGTTTCAATGGAACTTCCAGACTAAGACAGACTAGGAAGAAAGGCCAGGTAATCTACTTCTGAAAATCAGCCAGTGAAAACCCTGTGGATCACTACAGTCCAATCCACAATCAATCATGGGATGGTACAGGACGGGGCAGCGTTTCATCCCTCGTGCATGGGGTCACCATGAGCCTGGGGCCGCTAACAAGAACAACAGATAAGGGAACTGAGGTACAGAAAAGTTAAATAACTTGAATTTACCCAAGACCACACACCTAGGGAGTAACAGAGCTAGGATCTGGCCCTAGGCAGTCTGACTCCAAGGAGCCCTGGTGGTGCAGTGGTTAAGCACTTGGCTGCTAACTGAAAAGTTCTATGGTTGGAACTCACCAGGCGCTCTGAGGGAGGAAGATGTGGCGGTCTGCTTCTGTAAAGATTTACAGCCTTGGAAACCCTATGGGGCAGTTCTACTCCATTCTTTAGGGTCTCTATGAGTCAGACTCGACTTGACAGCAATGGATAGTCTGATTCCAGAATCCAAGCTCTTAACCACCATGCTCTGCTGTCTCTACAGAGAGAGAATGAAACAATTGGGCAGGGGTGAGAGAAGGACTGAAAATTTATGTTACAGTTCCCCCTGAAAACATCCTTGCATTGAGTGATAGTCCACTGGGCTGTTTTCTAACTTTCCTTGAGATTCACCTGATATTAGAGAATTGAAATGAAATCCAGTTAGGGGTGTTGAGGAAATACAATTAAAAACAAAATCTCCTTGCAATCCAGAAAACCTCCACAAAAAGAGAAAGAAAAGTTTTATTACTGAATAAACATTAACGCAGAATATGTTGTATCACAGGCAGTTGGCTAAAGAGATTCTAAAAACAGAAAGAAATCTACTCTTCTATATAGCTAAATGGATACAACCCATTACAGTCATGTTTTTGAGATAAAATTGCTAATTTTCTACTACTTTTATGGCCTAGAGCCACCTGAAATTATGCTAATCTCCTGCCTGGATACTGCGAGGTAGGGGGCATGATCTTCCTTTATGGTTACATTTCAAAAGAGATGACTCCCGGGTCACTGAGGAAACATTCTTTTTTGTTTGTTTATTTATTGTTGTAGTTTAAGTGAAAAATTCCATTTCAAGTTAGTCTCTCATACAAAAATTTATACATACAGTGTTATGTGACCATAGTTGCTCTCCCTATACTGTGACAGCACATTCCTCCTTTCCGCCCCCCTGATTTCCCATGTCCATTTAACCAGCTCCTAACCCTCTCTGCTTTCCCATCTCACCTCTGGACAGAAGCTGCCCACCCAGTCTCATGTATCAACTTAAGGTAAGAAGCACACTCTTCACAAGTTATCATTTTATGTCCCACAGTCCAGTCCAATCTTTGTCTGAAGAGTTGGCCTCGGGAATTGTTTTAGTTCTGGGTTGACAGAAAGTCCGGGGGCCATGCTATCCGGGGTTCCTCCAGTCTCAGTCAGACCATTAAGTCTGGTCTTTTTACTAGAATTTGAGTTCTGCACCCCATCTTTCTCCTGCTCTATCAGGGACTCTCTGTTGTGTTCCCTGTCAGGGTGGTTGTTGGTGGCAGCCGACACCATCTAGTTCTTCTGATCTCAAGATGATGCAGTCTCTGGTTTATGTGGCCCTTTCTGTCTCTTGGGCTAATACTTGAGGAAACATTTCTTGATTTATATACTTTTCAGAGATGAGAAAGAACTTACAAGTGTTCTAAAGGAAGTACTGAAAGAAAAGGGGGTGAGTGGGGATCTCTTACT